GTGATCTGCTCCCTATGAATGGCCAAATCGTTAAAGTCATGCACTGAAAAAAAAAATCCCCTGATGATGGTCAAAACGTGGGTAAAGGAATATTCCTTTCTCTTTCATGGCTGCTGGTCTTTCTCCAGTGGACAATTAAACCACCAGAGTGGGATGAATGAAGCAGATTTTGCTTCAAGATGGGCTGTTTGAGGAGGGGGAGGGTTTTCTGAGTGGTGGGCAGGGGGCAGCCCCAGCAGCTGAAACTGAGAGACCCTCTGGAGACCTCTTGCCTCTTGAACGAGTATCTATTTGTGTCCCACGTGTGCTGCTTTGATAGGTGTAAGCAAAGCAAATGTTCTAAAGACTCCAGAAATCCCCAGGTCTCTCTGCTTCCTGTGGATATCTCAGAGCTTAAGGACATGGTGTGTGTAGTGGTGTTTGTGAATTGACAGAAGTGCCAGACCGGGTTTTGTCTTTTTTAAATCAATGAAGTCAAGCGGAAACAATTTTATTCTCAAGGGCATATGCCAGTGTGTCTTAATTTCCTCTTTCAGTCCAGTCAACCCTGGAGAGCTGCAAGAGGAAGGGGAGGGTTTTTGCCTGGCTTCAGACTCACTTCCTCTCACTGTGTCTGTTGCACAGTAATACACAGCCGTGTCTTCAGGCTTCAGGCTGCCCATTTGCAGATACAGCCTGTAGGAAGGGTTGTCCCTGGAGATGGTGAAACGTCCTTGCACTGAGCCGGCATAGTATATGGTGCCTCCACTGCTGCTTATATATGCCACCCATTCCAGACCCTTTCCAGGAGCCTGCCTCACCCAGTTCATGTGAGAGCCTCCAAAGTTGAAACCAGAGGTTCGACAGGAGAGGCGGAGGGACTCTCCGGGCCTTTTGACATCTCCTCCGGACTCCACCAGCTGGACCTCTGAGAGGACACCTGGAAAGAAAGGAATTCCAAAGAGATCAGATTTAGGTTTTCAATGTAACTATATCCTGTCTTTGAAAGGACAAAAACTTACCTCTGAATATCACCAGAGAGAAAAGAATCTGAAGCCACCATACCATCTTCCTCTGAGTCTTTGAGGGAAATAATGGGCTAGAAGTTATCCGCTGTGCACAGTTGGGTCTTTCAGTGTCACTGCTTGTGGCATAGATCGGATTTAAAGAGGGAGCTGCCCCTGGATTTACATACGCCTCCGCATAAAAGCCCTTTGGCAATGCTATAACCTCCTTCCGCATTCACAGTGCAGGTGATTTGGAAGAATCCTTTCTTTTTGCATTGTGACACTCAAAAGGACAGGAATTGTGGAATTAACGAACATAATAGGAAGGAAGATTTAAAGTCTAAATTATTTTTAAAAATAAGATTTTCCAACAGCAATGATAGAAATGGCTTATGGAATCTCCTGCAAGGTTGTTGTTGTTTTTTGGGGGGGAAAGGTTGAGAAATAAGTAAATGGA